TCTTGTAAGAAATGATGAGTGGATTGTCATGTTAGATAATAAAGGATTTTTATTAATCGATAGATTTGGGTTATGAAAAGCAATGTAGACGATGCATGTTTGCAGGGGCTGAAGGCAGCAGCGTGGCTAGAGCTGCCATTGCGATGTTTGCCACGGCTGTTGGTAGGGCTGCTACTCCTAGTGGCAATTTTTGGTTCTAGTGGCAATGTTCAATTAGAGTCTAATCACGCAAGAATTTTGATAGTTTCTGCGAAATTAAAAAATATTTAAAAAGATAATCACTATTTTAGAAAAGTCTTAAGTAAATAATTTTAAAAAATAAAAGAAAAGATATTAAACAATATCTAAATAAAAAAATGAAATTAAAACTGGTATGCTAGGCTCAAAGTACCTAGCCAATTATTAAAAAAAGCTTGTGCCACATGCCTAGCAGGTTTTCTTTTTGAAGGAGTAGACAAAATCCATTCCATTTTTTTATAACTAAATTATTGTATTTCTATAATAAAATGTAATATAACAAGGTTTGAGTTTATGTCGATTTTCCCAAATAACAGAAACGCAATCATGAACTTGCTTCCATCAAATTTTATTAAATATAAGTAGTTTTTTTAAGTGATGTTTATAAAAAAAAATTATTGACAAGTAAATTATTTTTTTATATTAGGTAATACTTTAAAAAATAAATTTACAATATTATGATTTTTACATAGAAAATCTCATAGCTGGATTGATCGAATAAAGAACCACAATGTAAAATTAAAAACATGTTCTACTTTGGACTGTTTGATACATTAATTTTAGATAATATAAAACCTATAATTTTTTATTAATTCACTTGTTAAGATTCATGACATATAACAAATAATATTTGAAACTTATAAAAATATAATAATATCTAAAAAACATAAAAATATCTAAAAATATATAATATTCATCAAGAAAAAAGATATAAAATAAACTAAAACTATCATTAAATGTGATCATGTATTTGAATGGAGCATTAAAATTCATGTTAGCCAATATAGAAATATAGTTCTGAAAACATGATTATTTTATTTATTTATATTTTTTTGATACAGAGCCTTACCAACTACTTCAAATTTAATTTTTTTAAATTTTACATGCTAAGATTTTATGATGCAAGAATTATTACACCACATCCATCTTTGTTGATTAAATTAGTTATTGTTAGTATGAATCATGCATGCAAAAAAGAAAAACTAATAATTGGTCTTCAATAACTTAAATTATAATTGTCTCTCGTTGTTTCATTTCATCTTTTAAAAAAAAAAAATTAAGTTCAGTATTTTATATTAAATATTATTTATTTTTGTGATTCAATAAATTTTTAAAATTATTATTTATCTAAAAAAATCAAATTGATATTTTTTATATATTTTTTCAATAATTTTAATTTATTAATATCAAAAATTTAAAAAAATCTTAAAAAATCTTTTTCAATGATTTTAATATATTAATATAAAAAATCTCAAAAAGTCATTTTAAAAAACGCTCAACGCATTACGATACATAGTACAAACCAATTTCAATAATTAAGACTCGTTTGTAAAATAATAATAATAATAAAGACGTTAGCCAGTAAAATTAACTTTCTTTCCCGCCAAAATGCCGTCACATGAGCTGCCGAGTTAGAATTAACAGCAGAATATTTAAAAGACCCTGCCATCTATCTTTAGCCATCTTGCAGCCTCAACATCACTCACGTGTCAATTTAACAAACCCCTCTCGGACACGCAGATTGATAGCTCATCTTCATTAACATCTCCTTCTTCTTCAACTTCTCAATCTCCATCTCCCGCACAGCCTCTCAAGATGGATCCCAAGAAAGCAATTGTTAAATTTCTAAGCGAAAAGCAAGCCGATAGATTAAGTCAACCCAAAATCGACGACACTCCACCCTCAAACCGCCCTCACAGATCAAGAACATGTTTGGGAGAAAATATGCTTCTTTACATGGTTATTTTTTTCGTTTTCTTTGCGGTCTTACTTCTCCTCTCAATCCTGTATCGCAAGTTAACCTAGTTTTTACCGTTCTCTATCTTAAGTTTATATTACATACATGTTCTTTCCCTTTAACCTTTTTTTTTACTACGAATTAAAAATCAAGATCAAATCCAAGTTGATCAAGAAATTCAGTTTCTTTCTACGAAACTTAATGATAACATTGCAAGGCTATGATGGAATGAGGCGAGTTCTAGACAGTTTAATTAAGGAAGAAATCAAACTATTAAATTATAAAGAAGCTATGGAATCAACATTGAGTCTTCTTGACTCGCGCGATACAACTCTTGAAGGCAGTCAGAAGTTTGGTAATGTGAAGCAATGCTTGGTGCATCACCAGGCCCTCGTCACTGGTGATATTCTTGGAGACCCACGTCAGGGGTATGTGCCAAAACTTTTACTGCCTTGAGATCGTTTGCTCTTAAATAATGGTTGTTTACCATGAATTATGTTGGAGACCAGAGTGTTTGCTATCTTTTCTATGTTTACAGGTGTAATGTCTCTGTGTTCGTTGATGATGATTCTGTTGTTCGAGACACCAATACTCGGAGATTTAAGCTGTTAGCTGGGACACAAATGAGAACGGATGTTCAAGAGGCCACTAATGGAAAAGAAGCTGTTTATCTTCATCTTGCTTGAGTGGAATTCAGATATATGAACTTTTTTTACCAGCTTCAACTTATTACTGTTTTTGAAAACCCCAGCCCCATTATAGTTTATTGCTAAAATCAGATTAAAGGATGATTCTTCTTTATTTTCTTGCAACTCGTAATATAATTACAGATTTTCACCAAGTCCTGCATGAGAACCACTAACTTGATAGAGTGAAAACGAAACAACCGTCAGTCTGTATAATCTGATCTTGATCATGATGAAATAAATATGAACTTGCTAGAATTGAAAGTTGACCCTTCATGATTCTAAGGCCATTAATTTGGTTTATTCTTGAAGCATAAAAAAGCAAATACATCATGATATTGACAATTGCTCCTGATTATATGACTTTCTTACCATTGTTTAGAGACCATCTTTGTTTTAGTTTCGAAGCGACATTATAGTACTAACAACAATAAAATATCTTGCGCTTGATAATGTCTGCAATTTTGTGAAGTTTAATACAACCTGTCCAATTCTATTCGCGCATGCATGCGATTTACGTGCACATCTATTAAAATCATCGTTTTATGATAGGCTACGGCAACAAAGGACCTACAGACAGAGACAAACTCTGAGTATGATGAACAGAAAGCTCTCCATGAAGCAGGCTCTGATAGCTGCTTTGAAATTCCAGTATCTGTTAAGGCCATGGAAACATCTGGTATGTCCGACCTTACAAGCAGCCGCACTCTAGTATTGCTGGGAGACATAATGGATTTCCTCCAGTGCTTAGCTACTGATACAAAAATGCTCACCGCATACCAGCTGTCATAATCCAATTTTGACCCTTTAGTTTTTAATTTAATTTTTATAAAGTTTAAAATAAAAAATTAAAAGATCATAGATTTATTTTAATAAAAAAAATAATTTATTAATTTTCGTAAAAATTAAGGACTACAATGTACCTTTGTCATTCTAGTCTTATCTTTAAGATAATCCTTATTTTCTTTAAGATAATTCTCAAGATAATGATAATTGTTTGTTTTTGAATTCGATTCTAATTCGAACTTTAAAAAAGAAAATGAGTTTGATTGAAATTTACTTCTCGTCAGGGATGAGATTCTTGTACTATAAATACAGATATCAGGAGGGAAAAAAGAGACCCGAAAATACCAAAAAGCAACCCAAGAATTACCGAGCAGAGCAGAAAAGAACCCAGAAAAATTCCACAAAAAACAAAGAAAAACCACTCCAGAACAGAGACAAAAAAAACAGAGCAAACCACAGAAAAAAAGCAGAAATATAAAAAGCAATTGAGAAAGAAGGAGAGAACAAGAGAGCAGTTTACATAAAAGAGGAGAATTAGCTTCGTTATTGTTGTATTCCCTGCAGAGAAAGCAACTCGAAATCAGTGAAAAACTCAAAGAAGCAAAGACCCATCACCTTCTCAACTTTTTCTTTTGAAGAACCGGAAAAAAAAAGAGAAAAAAACAGTAGCTGCAACAGGGAAAGAA